CAATAGGCAGGTTAATTTATAAATGGTTAAGTCGAGATTCGAGAGATGAGATTTAATACCGGTAGATTAATTCTGTGATTGTAATACGTAGAGAAAGCCCTTTATGATCTGATTAATTTATGCATTGATGTTTGATTATTATGTTTTACCCTGCAATATTGTTTATTGGTGAACCTAAGCCCTAGGTATTTTATTCATTGATTTCCTCTTAATATTAATCCCCGTATTTAGTCTTATATCCATATTATTAAATTGTTACTTAATAATTTAGATTGCTTTAATTAATAGGAATAAAAAGACTTGTTTCCCTGTGGATTTGACCCTACTTCCCTATCTATTTTAGTTAGTTTTTTTAGGAATTAATTTTGATTAGATGATACGACTTTAGCCTGTCAGTCACTTTATGCTGTTAAAAGGGTTACTTTATGCATTTAAATGGGCCACTTTATGCATTTCAAAGGGTCATTATGCATATATTCTGAAATTTTCCATTAGTACTTTGTGAATTTGTAATTTATGGTTATTTTCCTATATTAATTAGCTATAGGTGGTTCAATAGGTGGATATCGTTATAAATTGTCTTCAAAGGGAAAAGCAATGCCTAAAGAGTTTGCTAAGGGCAAAGCAGTACCTAAAAAGACCAAGACAGTTGCTGAGAAGGCTAAACCAAAGTTTGAGAAGGCTAAAACAGTCCCTAAAAAGACTAAGACAGTTTCTGAGAAGGCCAAACTAGAGTTTAAGAAGGCTAAAGCAGCTCCTAAGAAGGACAAGACAGTTCCTAAGCAGGCTAAACCAATTCCTAAGAAGGCCAAAATTGTACCTAAGAAGGCTAAAACAGTGCCTGATTCAGATTCTGAATTCGAAATGGTTTCCGATTCTGATTCTGAGACTGTTGTGTGAGTACACATGTTATTTGATCTGCATTTTTTTAATTATATGTTGTTTTTAGTTTATATTGTTTAAGTTATTTTTTTTTTATTATTTTTAGGGAACAAAGACGCTTGATTGCAAGGTGTAGACCACATACAATGGAATTTATGATGCAGACCTTTTGTTCTAACCAACATCAAGCTGTTGAAGAAATTAGTTTTGGTGGTTTATTACATTTGAAATTGAAAACACTTAATCGTCAAATGCTACCTTGGCTTGTTAAACACTTTAATGGTGGTAGCTGCATATTTACCATTGCTACTGGTAAAGAATTCGTAGTTACTGGAAACGATATATGCGATGTGTTTTGCTTGCCCATGAGTGATATTCCTGTTCCTGAACTAAAGAAAAATGCTGAAGATGGAAGTGTAGATAAATGTATCATTCAGGATGGAGATCTGATTATGGTCTTTCTGATAAGCAAGCTCTTCATTTGTCAAAGTTGGAGTCTCGAATGGTTGATTTGGTTGATGGAGGGGAAGAGTTTAAGAGGTGTTTTTTTCTTCATGCTATGTCTAGTTTTTTAGCTCCTAATACTAATAGGACTGTTTCATTGAAGTTGCTGAAGGCTATTGAAGAAGTTGATGAAATCAAAAATTTTGATTGGTGTTCATATGTTTTGAAAAAGTTAAAGAAGGTTGTTGAAAAGTATAAGAATGATGAAAAAGCTCAAAATGTTAGTGGTTGTTTGCTGACTTTGCAAATTATGTATTTTCATCGTTTAAATTTTCAAGGAGAAAAGGAAAGTAGTATTGTTCCTTTGATTCAGCATTGGACGGATGCTAAGATTAAGAAGCAGATTAATTTAGAGATCAAAGCTGGAGGTTTTGGGCAGGGACCATTGGATACCCTTACATATCCTTTTGTCACAGCCTGTGATTAAGCAAACTGTTGTTGAGCAACCTCGCACTTTGGGATATGATCATGGTGCTTCTACAAGTGGTAGAATTGGCCACATTCTTGCATTTGATCTTCCGGAAGGTGTGATGACTGTACTGATGATGAAATTAAAGAAATTTCAACTGATGTAAGTGTTCTATTTTTTTATTATTATTATTTTTTTATATTTAGTTATTATCTCTTTATGTGCACTACTAAAGTTACCCTTTATGTGCACTAAAGTTACCATAAATATTCAGTTGCAAGGGTTACTTTGTGCATTTAAAAGGGTGACTATATGCATATAAAAGGGTCACTTTATGCATTTAAAAGGGTCACTTTATGCATATATCCTGAATTTTCACTTTTTTATTTTTTTATTTTTTATTTATCTCATTTGTTTATTTTCTTCTTTGTTCATATGTTTGTAGGTTGTTCATGAGACATTTCTTTTGGTAAAAAGAAATATGGATGTTTTATTGTTGGTTCAAACACAGGGTTTTGATACCTTGAATGAGATGATTGCTTCTCGCAGTACTGTTTCATTATCTTCTGATAATGTTGTTGCAGTTTCTTAAACTCAACAACTACTCTCTGATCCTCATTATCTGAAGCTTTTAGATGGTTTAATTGATGAGTGTAATAAGATGAAGTCTGTACATGAGATATCTCGTGGTTTTTATGAACTTGAACAAGGTCGTACAGTGGATGTTCCTGAAGATGAACCTGCAAAAGGTCATAAAGGAGATGTTCCTGAAGATGAACATGCACAAGTTTTAAATATGACAAAGAAGTTGTTCCTACTAGGCCTGCTAAAGAAGTTGTTAATGAAGGTGGTAATAGTGGTAATGGTGCTGGACCTTCTACAAAAGTTGTTCCTGGACATATCATCAGATCCAATAAATCTCAATGCTCTCTGGACTATGGGCCAGTAGGTGTGGATGTGTTTTTTGTGACTCTGTTTTTGAAGGCTAATGCTCGGATTTTCAAGAGTATGCCTCAGTTACATTTGGAAATTCTCGATTATTGTTTGTTGAAGGATGATTCATTGCAGAGGAAGTTAAGTGTCAATTGTTATGATAATATTTTTTATCTTTTCTTTCCTCTATTTTTTTTAATGCTGATCTTATTTTTATTGTTCCAGTGAGAACCTTGTTACTTTTGGTATGAATTTTGTAATTCCAAGAGAAGACATGGTGTCCCTTGCTGCTCCACTTAGGATTTGATGGTGCATTATTGATTGCTACTGCCTGTATCTAAATGAGAAAGCATGTTTTGAGGCTTCTAGTCCTCAAAAATTCTTGTTTGGTGTGAGGAAAAGTGTAAGTAGTTTGATTTTTTTATATATATATATTTAAACACATTTACGTTATATATATATATATATATATATATATATATATATATATATATATATATATGTTAATGAGTTCTTATACTTTAATAGTTGGCATTCTTGCATGTTTGTGATCACATTGGCCAAGGTGATATTTCTAGTGCTGTGAAGGATTTGCACGATCTAAGGGAAGGTTGGCTGTGCTATGAGAATCCTGAATGTGATATAATGGATGCTGAACTGGTATTTTTCATGTTAAATCACTATCATAACTTTAAAAGAGTTCTGTTTGCGATATGCTCTGTCTAAATCACTCTTAATTTTGCTGTTTCAGATCTATTATCATGTTCTTTATGATAATCACTACATTTTGTTTGTTATTGATCATACAAAAGAGGTTGTATATTATCTTGACAACATTATCTGGCGTGAATCTAGTGTGGATTATTTTAAAGATTTGTCTAAACAATTATAATGTTTCTGTTGATTTATTGTTATATTTTTGTTGATTCATTGTTTCCATTTAAACCTTTTTTTTTGTTTTTAATATATGCTAAACTTTTATATTTTAGCTCAGTGTGATCAAATGGGTGCTTTTATTGCCAAAAGAAATCATCCAAAGAGTTCTCAGCTACCTTCTTATGGGTTTCAAGCTGTTGATTTCGAATGGAGAAAAGATAGAGTTGACAATTTGGACTGTGGGGTCTTTGTCATGTATCACATGCTCCATTTTGTTGGAGAATCGTTCAAATTAAATGAACTCAAAAGAGTAATTATTCATATATTTTGTCTGTAGTTTTTTCCTTTCTAATGCTTCTATTAATTACATATTGATATTTTTTTCCTGTTGTGAGATTGTTGGAAGAAAATACGAGCACAGATATGTACCACACTAGTGCTGTGTGATTTGAATGAATCTAGGAATGATGTGTTGTAAGAATTAGCCAAGTTCAACGAGAAGAAGAAAGATCCTTCTTATGTCCAGGAAATTGAAGCAAGAAGAAAGGCTGCAATTGCTGAGAAGAATAAGAAAGAAAATAAAGATAGAAAAATGGTAGAAGCAACAGCAAAGGAAGAGGCAGATGAAGAACATCCCAAAGGAAAAAGGACCAAAAAGCAAATAAAAAAGTACACTCCTTCTAAACAGTGAAAAAACTTAGGTCTAGTAGTATTTTTTGAACAATGAAAAAACTTCATGTATTTGCATATACATCAAGTTCAATGATGTAATTAAACTTATTGTATAGTTTTTGGTTGTTTGGAATACTGATGTATGTGCATACATTAAGTAATTTGAAAGGTTCTTTTGTATGTTTTTAATGGGTCACTTTTATGCATAAAATGGTGAACTTTGTAGCATAAAAAGGGTTACTTTTTTGGGTAGAAAGAATTAGTTTATACATGATAAGAAATAGTTTTGTGGGTAGATAGGGTAACTTTTATGCATGAAAAAGGTCACTTTTATTCATGAAAAGGGTAACTTTGTAGAATAAAAAAGGTTAATTTTTATGCATGAAAAGGGTCACTTTTACGCATGAAAAAGGTCACTTTTATTCAGGAAAAGGGTAACATAATTTCATGTTTTTCCTGTCTTGTCAAAAAAAAGTTTATGTTTCCAGTAATTAAACATTTGCTAATAATAGTGTAAATGATATTTTCATCAAAATAGTTTATTAATAGAGTAAAAAAATAAAAAATAGTCTTACGATACAATGTATATTAGTTTTGAAAAAAAAATGTTCAAACAAAGTTCCTAAAAGAGTCGTAAGTTAGGTGTCTTTGATCCAAATTCTGAATGTGGAGGTGGCAGTGCTGTTTTTCTTTTTCTCTTGCTTTTTTCAAGTCCTCCTTTTGCTCACTTGCTTCTTCCTTTTGTTACAGCCCTTTTAGGATCAAGTATTGTTGGTACACTTGTGCTTGTACTCGATGCCGAAGAAACATCATTATTGCTTTGAGTGCTGTCTGCCACATCAGGAATGTTAGAAGCAGCTTCTGCACTTTCTCTCTGAGTAGCACTAGCAAGTAATTCTTCCACCATTTTAAGACTGTTTTTGAAGCTTTCTTCCGTAAATGCTCTTGTCTCTTCAGTTTCTTGACTTTTTAAGATTAAATTGTAGTATTTCCTCATCATTGTTTGCCTCCATGGAATATATGGCTGTGTAGGATCCTGATTCTTGAACCTATCCCATGCCTCTGTTTTTGCAAACTTAGTCCATTTTTTTGAAACATACTTGTCTAGTATTCTTGTTACTGAATACAAATGTAGAATTATGATGCAATGATAACATAACCATCCAAATGCTTCAAAATTTTTGCAAGTACACCATACACTCTAGGTCTCATGTATATAGTTTATTTGATGTGCATACCATTGCTTGTCTTCTAGGGTTACTCCATAAACTAGGCATTCTTCATTTCTCCCTAACATCTGAACAATTGTTGCCATAGAATATCCAAACTCCTCTTCAAAATCTCTAAAGAGTGATAAAGTGAAAACCTGTTCACCAAAATCAGGTATCTACATTTAAATTTTTATATATTATGTGTAATTTAAGTACTTTTCAGTTAACTTTTTACATGTGCTGCATGATTTAGCATTCCGGACAGTGGCAATGAAGTGAATGCTATTGACTTGCTACAGGTAAACTCATCATATTTCTCTGTGCTTCTCCAACGATTGGTTGTCTTCTTAAATATGGTATAAAATTCTGTCAATGTAGTTGCTTTAATTGCTCTGAATTCTATAGCTTGATTAGTGCTTTCACTCCTTTGTGATGATAGAATTCCTGCTGAAAAGAAATCTCTACTAAGGGCAGGACACCATTTTTCTTTCAACTCATACACTCCTTGGTACCAAGAGTGTGCTGTCAAGTCATATTTTTGCATCATTGCTTGCCACTTTGCTTCAAATTCTTGTTCTATCACACACATCTTTAAGCACTGGTAGAATGCATACTTGAATTCTTTGTCTTTTTTAAGAGCCCCAAATCTGGTTATGGCATTTTGTTCCAAATGCCAGATACATAGTTTATGCCTTGTATTAGGAAACACCTACATTGAAAATAAAGGGGTCACTTTATGCTATTAAAAGGGTCACTTTATGTAGTTAAAAGGGTAATTTTATGCAGTTAATAGGGTAACTTTATGGGAAAAAGAAAAACATTATTGTCAGAGCTTAAAATCTGTAAAATGTCAATATAAATCTTTTACCTGCTCAATTGCATTTGTCATTGCTTGGTCCTGGTCACTGAATATTGAAGTTGGTCTTCTATTCTCCATAGCTTTCAAGAAGGTTTCTAGTAGCCACACAAATAAATCTGTTTTTTCATCCCCAATAAAAGCACATGCAAACATACAATTATGCCAGTGATTATTTATGCCAACAAATGGAGCACATATAATATTGTATCTGTTGGTTTTGTATGTTGTATCAAAGACAAGAACATATCCATATATTTTATAGTCTTCTAACATCATTGAATCTCTCCAAAAGATATTGGAAATTCTCCCTTCATTGTCAAACTTCACTCTAAAAAAGAAGTTCGGATCTTCTGATTGTTCCTGATTTAAAATGTTCACTAAAGTTTGAGCATCTCCAGCCTCAATTTGTTCCATTCTTAACCTTAAGCAGAAATTCAGATGATCTACAACACTATGACCTACATTATGTTCTCCTCCAGCCTCTGTAGCCATGTAATTGTAAGTGTCCATTGTAGTTAGACCTGAAGATTTTATTGTTTTGATTGCTTCAGCTTTTTCCTCGGTCATTTTTCTTTCAGAACGATGCAAATAATGCCACTGTGACCTTGTTAGCTCGTGGTTATGCTCAATAACATGAGCCACTACCTCAAACTTTCCTTCTTTATTCACTTTTGCTCTTATACATACCTTGCAATTCGATCTTGTAATGGCTACTTGTCTTGGCTTTCTTGTTTTAACATTTACATCCTCTTCATCAACCATTTCAACTAACTTTGTTTTCTTTTGACCTGAATTTCTCTTTCCTTCAGCAGAACACACATAATTTTTCTCAGTTACTATTTTTGTTTGTTTTTTGAATCTAGTTATACATTTTCTTATTGAAAACCCCAGTATAGCTGCATGTTTTTCATACAATTCCAAAATTTCTTCAAAAGTTTGTCTTACCACACCAAGAAATGATCCTCTAAGATCTAAACCAGAAGCATCAATTGGATTTGTATCTGTTATTTAATACAGACAAATCAGATAATAACCAGAGGCATCATATCATTAAAATTGGAGGCAAATAAAGGGTAACATTCGTGTGAAAATAGGGTCACTTTTATGCATAAAAAGGTAACATTTAGGCATTCAAAGGGTTACTTTTTGCGTACAATCTTAATTTTCTACATACAATCTGAGGGTAACTTTTGTGCATAAATAGGGTCACGTTTATGCATTACAATGGTAACATTTAGGCATTCAAAGGGTTACTTTTTGCATTCAATTTGAATTTTCTGCATACAATATGAGGGTAACATTTGTGCATAAATAGGGTCACTTTTATGCATGAAAAGGGTAACATTTAGGCATTCAAAGAGTTACTTTTTGCATACAATCTAAAAAGTTTATAGAAATTACCTTCAATTGCATTTGATTTGGTTGTGTTGTTCTGAATTTGAATCAATTGATTTGCTAGGAACCACTTGAGTTTCTGCATTGTCAATTGCTTCTTCTGCATTGTTAATTGATTCTTCTGCATCGTCTCCATTGTTTGGATTGTTGAATATTGGTACGAATTCATCTCCAAAACTCTTCTTCTTCTTCTTCTTCTTCTTCTTCTTCTTCTTCTTCTTCTTCTTCTTCTTCTTCTTCTTCTTCTTCTTCTTCTTCTTCTTCTTCTTCTTTCTTCTTCTTCTTCTTCTTCTTCTTCTTCTTCTTCTTCTTCTTCTTCTTCTTCTTCTTCTTCTTCTTCTTCTATAATCGATTGATTTAAATCGATTTCAAATTCAGTTTCAATTTGCCTCTGTTTTTGTAGCAATTCGTGGATGAGATTGCTACAATTTGTGGTATCGAAAGTCGAATTCTCCATTGGTGATCGAATTCTCCAATTTGTTCGTTTTCTCATTTTCTCTCTCCTCAACTAATGATCGAATTCTGCAATTTGTAAGTTTCCTCACTTTCTCTGTCCTTAATTGATGATCGAATTCTTTAATTTGTGCGTTCACCTTTTTCTCCTCAATTGATGATCGAAATCTGCAATTTTTGCGTTTTCTCACTTTCTCTCTCCTCAATTGATGATCAAGAGCATTGTTTTCTCACTTTCTCTCTCTTCCATTGTTGTTCTACGTTTTTTTTTATTTTGAGGTATGAAATTCCGCGATTTTGATTTTTTTTTTTTAAAAAAAAACCTAGTAAATGGTTGGCACGTGCAAACAACTTGATTTACAGTAAAAATACTGTACACCGGGTGCATGCAAAAGGGATTGAAAAAATTAATGGGGTGAATATTTTGGGACTAAAATTTACCCATAAAAGACTATCAAAAAGGGATGAAGTAGTAATAATAATAATAACAACAACATTAATAATAATAATAACATTAATAATAATGTTGCGGCTCGGCTCTGCTGAAATCTGATTAAGTGAAATTTAATCTGCTAAATTTCCATAAAATTGCCAGAGGCAGACACGGAGAGTGAGCAACAATGGAAGAACAACACAAAGAGGAAAGTGCAAATATTTGTATGGCAGAAGATGAGGAGGTGATTAGCGAAGATCATCTGGGTTGCCCTGCTAACTTCTCTGGCCCTTACAGCTCTCACTTCACTTTCTCTCTCCCTCTTGGTAACCCCTAATTTCTATCTTCTTCATTTCATTCATCTCTTCTTACAGTTTCTATGGTATTATCGGCTTTAATTTGTATTTTATGTCCTTGAAGAGTGTTGGGAATCAATGTTTAAGTTTATTTTGATTGAATTTAGTTTGAATTTTATTATGTATGAGTTTTTGGATGATTTTATGTTGTTTATAGTGTAATTCGAATTGGGTATTCGTGTCATATATGGGTATGTGTCCAAAGTGTCAAACTTTGGGACTAGTTTATTTTCTGATGATTTTGGTCCAGAACCAAGTGTCGTAGGATCGTACCCATGTCAGAGTTTCGAAAAGCCAATACAGGAACATTAGATTAAATGACAAGTTTTGAATTACGCGTTATGTTGGTATGACGGAGGGATTGAATTGCTAGCTAATTATGTTTCTGTAAAATCACTGAAATGAAGGGAACAAGCGTTTATTCATTATGGTGGTACAATTAACTAGTTAGGGGCTTGGATTGCTGAGTTTATTTGAATTTAGCTTCGGACAACGAATTTTCTACTTGTGGTATTAGTTATTTTTCATCATCTGTGGAAAGATACAATGCACAAATAGTGGGTTTATTTTGATAGAGAAAAGGCATTGCGCAATTTAAGGGAGCAGTGGATTAGGCACCATTAACTTACAAGAAAACCTTGATGAGAGGGAAAGATGTAATTGTGGTTATCAGAAGAAAATTTGGGAGGGAATGTTATAGACTATTCAGTTGTTCAGCAAATTGGAAAATTAAGTCCGTAACTAAAAGTGTCGTGAATCTTGTGACAAACGCAAATTGGAAAATTAAGTCCGTAACTAAAACTGTCGTGAATCTTGTGACAAACTTACTACTTCCTATGTTACTTGGACTTGATCATTGATTCAATGGTGTTATAGACTGGTCTTGTGACAAACTTATCACTTCTTACCATTGGTGTAGAGACTAGTATGTATTTGATATAAATCTAAGAGTTATGAATCTTATGACAAACTTATTACTTCCTATGTTTCTTGGATTTGACCATTTGTGTTAGAGATTGTTATGTGTCCAAATTTCGGGCTCATCTTTTTGTATAAAAAGGTCCATGTTTTGGTTCAAAATAAAGTGTCTAGTATCCATGACCATACCCATGTCAGAGTGTTGATGATTTGGCAGGGGTGCTTGTGGGGAAAATAATAATCTGAGTATGATAGTTTATTTTCTACTTGTGTTGTAAGTGTTTTAAATTGTGACTCGTGAAAATGTGAAATCAAGCTCCTCCCAGCAAAGTAGTATTATATATCATTTGATTAAGTATTTTTTTCTAATCTCACATGACTCCTTTTTTTAATTTATACTTTTGCAGCCCGGTTGGTACCAAATTATTTTCCTATTTTATCCAAAATTTTCGCGCAGAGTCCATAGATTTCATGTTTTTTTTGGGGACTATATTAAGGATCCAGAACTTAACCATTTTCACAGGTGTCTTATTGGTCATCTTTCACAACATCATTTACTAATTATTGTGCCACTGACAAGCCCTGGTTTTCCTTTAGACGCCTGAGGTTATTTGGGGCTCCGATGACATCCTCTATTCCTCTGTAGTCAGCAGGCCCTAGTGTTTATTTGATACTTGATTAGATTCAAGCCAATGTTTTTGATGTGGAAAGGAAACTAGGTTAGGCTCTTTGTTAGGGCCAACCTACAGTGATTGAATCCAGGCCATGATATTCTTTTCTGCACCATTAATTTTATAGTTGGTTTTCGGCATTGGACTCTCTTCAGCCTGCATTTTGGTGGAGCCTCAGTGGTTGTTTGTTCATGCTCTTTTGTCTTAATTGTGAACTGGAAGAATTATACCCATTAAGTTTCTCTTGTTTTTGAGTGTCATAGGAGATGAGTTCACGAGGAGTAGACATGGTGACCATGTCAAAGATGAATCTAGTTCTCCAGAGCAAACTATTGATTTAGATGAAGATGGTGATCTCATTGTAGCTCGATGAACCAGTAAGTCAAAGCATGACCCACATTTATAATCCTTCTTTATCTGTGATTCTCCTCCTTTGTGCACTTTTACTACTTCTGACCTTTTTATAAGGTAGGGACCAGGCTTTTGAGCTTACCCCGGTGCTTAATGATCAATATTTAACTAAACCAGTCTTAAAAACTTAAATTTTTGAAAAGTCAATTTCATTTGTTATTTGTCGTGTTACATTGTCAACTAATTTCTTAAAGTTGTCTCTGTATACTTATACTTTGTGTCATTTTGTCAAGTGTCAAGTAAAGTATATGTTGCGATTATGCCTGAAATGCCATCTTGATATGTGCCTTGTTCTAATTTATCACGGAATAACTTGGCTTTAGGTCAGTGGTCAGAAATTAATTAGTGTTGGTTCAGTTTTTCTACTTTTATTATCAGAACTTTGTGAGTGGTTCTAACTGCTTTATTTTTCTTTAAATAATGTGCTTGGAAAAATTGGAGGGGAGGAGAGGGAATGGAAGAAGTATGCTAAATCTTTCTTTCCATGTCTTTCTAACAATGGAAAGAAATAACAATGAAGAAAGGAGAAGAAAATTTCCCTTCCCTTTTCCTATTTTATATTTAAATCAGATTAAGGGTTTTCCTTCACTCCAACCAATCAATCAAAGCGTTAATCCCATAAGTGAGGTCGGCTACATGAACCAAATTTGATTATTATGTGTAGTAATAGACAAAAAACTTCCTCCTCCATCCCTTATGATCCATTGCCTCATCCTCATGCAAATCCACATACTTCATATTCTTCTTAACTCCTTCCAACCAAGTCATTTTCAGTCTCCCCCTCCCTTGTTTAACCCCTCCATGGTCTCACTCTTCCACTCTTTGAATGGGTGCACCCTCAAGTAGTCGGGTCACCGTCTTAGTTCTTACATAGTTACATGCCCAAATTCACTGCAAGTTACCAACCTATGATTTCTGCTTTTCTGAAGAAATTTATTTTTGTGCAGAACAAGCTTACTACACAGGTGTTGTCAGCATTCAGCACAATATTACATCAACCATACCAAGTGTGGGTCTGTAGGTGATTGTCCAATATGCTAAAAGTCTAAAACTATAACTTAAGTAAGATACTAAGGATAAGATGAAATGAGAATCTATTTATGTGCTCAAGCAATCAAGCCATATGCAGCTATAAATACATATGCTGAAAGCAGTACACAATGTATGTGTGTTACTATTTTGTATCATTATGCTCCAATAGTTGCATGCTTGCATGTATTTTACGGCAATGATGTAGTCAAATTTGGAACACGATTCAGTAGTACACTTACACAGCTTATGAGAGTTTTTTATAACACTATCAGTAAAAGAATTTATAGCTTTGCATACACCATTTATCGACTTTACTCTTTTTGGATTTCATGCATTTTACAGTTATTTTTATCATCAAATTGTAGGAAATTAATGAAATTATAATTCAGTGCTTTCTAGACTGTTAGCTTTTTCTATAAGTTTTCCTTTTCAGGTTTGGAGGGCTGAATTGGTATTAGCAGATTATGTATTGTACAGGATGTCTTCTTCATCTATATTCAATGGTGTTGTTGCTGTTGAACTTGGTGCTGGCAAAGGTAATGTTCTCTTCTATAATTTGTTCATCATGATGAAATAGATGTTTGGACTTAGGACTTGGATATGCAAGTCAAGCTGTTAGTTGTAAGAAGGATCTTGAATACTCCATCTTTTTCACAATGTTTGTCTTATTTTTCACAAACACTAAGAAGGTGAAGGAGACTTATCAGAAGTGATGCATTAGAAAAAAGAGTGAAAGTTCCGAAAGTAGGACATCATCTTGAAACACTGTATAACGAATAGAAGGAACATCATAAAACCGAGGAAATTGTATAATTAAAGTTCATTACCTAGATGAAGTTTATCACCAAAACCTTATCGGTAT